GCGCGGGGGCCAGGTAGCCAGGCGGGCCACAGATCTCTGCGGAGACAGGGCAGAGCATCCCCCTCAGCCCCCCGGGAGGGTTTGTGCCGTCCCCACCCACCCCCGAGCAGCCGAGGAGGGGGGCCTGGATCCCACGTGGGACCTTCGCAAGTGATGGTGCTCACAGGGAGTAACTGCAACTTGTGTGCATCTTGCTGGTGACTTTTCTTAGTGGATTATAGCTAAAATGTGAATGAAGAGAGTGATGGGGATGCCCCAGGTGGAGGGTGGCATGCTTGTTGTTGGTTATGTGGCTCTGCAAAGGGTAGGACTGGGAAGAAACCTTAATTTTGGGCAGTAAATGGATGGGGTAACGAGGGTCAACTGGAGGAGAAAAAAGTGGAAAGATTTGGATGGTTTTCCTAACAGGCAGCAACTTCTCCATGGCAAGGAGTGAGGCGTGGAGGCTGTGCTGCAGGCAGAGCTGGGCTCATATGAGAGCAGGAGGGCATCCCAAGCCGACAGGCACCGATCTGTGCCTGCGGCAGCGAGACTGGCCCCGGGGAGACAGTGGGGCTGGAGAGACTCCACCGACACGCTGTGGGCACCACAGCAACGGGGTGGCCACAGGCCAGCCCGGCATCGCCCCCTCCTTGCCATCCTCCTACCTTTGAGCTTCTCGTCCTCACGCAGCTGGCAGGAGAAGCCGAAGTCCGTCAGCTTAATGTTCATGTCGTCATCCAGGAGGATGTTCTCTGGCTTCAGGTCCCGGTGGACGATGTTGATGGAGTGGAGGTACTGGATCACTTCCAGCAGTGCCCGCATGATCTTCCTGGGGATGGGAGACAGCACCTCTCCTAACCTGAACACCCACTGGCACCGTGCTCCCGGGGATGGGGACAAGGACAGGGGCCGTGCAGCTCAGCCCCCATCTCTGAGCGCGGGGGCACAGCCCGGGGTGCTGGTTTGCCCATGGGTGCCATGCCGGCTGCAAGGTCATCCTTCGAACCCGCGCCCTGCCTTTGCAACATGATGTTCAGCCATCTGCATCTGGCCTTACCTGGTTTCCTTCTCGCTCAAGGTGACTTTCTCAGTGAGGTAGTCGAAGAGTTCCCCCCTCTTCATCCTGCATGCGGGAGGGAAAGCGGAGGCAGGCAGCGGCTGAGCTGCAGCAGCAAACCGGCCCCGAGCCCTTGGGGAGGATTGCCCAGGAGTCACTGCCCCTTAACAGCCCCAGGGCACCCATTGTGCAAAATGACAAGCCGGCTTGTTAATAAAGAGAGATAAAAATGCTTCTATATTGCTGCAAAACATCAGGCAAGAGGAGGAAAGGCTGTCCCCGGGCAGGGCGGGTTTCGGATGGGACAGGGCTCTCCTGTGCCATCCCCCTGCTCTGGTGTCCATCACGCTGCCCCGGCGTCAGGAGTCGCGGCATCATGCGACTGGGCATATAAATAACCCGCGGGGACGCACGATGGCTCCTGCCAAAGGTTACGGGGAAACCTGAGCAGCTCTGTGCTGCTGATGGAGGGGAAACACAGCCGGCAGCAAGGCTGCACCGAGCTGGCTCACAGCAGTCGAGGCTCATTTCTGCCTTAAACAAGAGCTGCTTGTCCTGTTTGGCCCATAACAACTGTTGGCTGGTGGCCGTCTGCAGAGTGGGAACGGGCTTGGGGAGAGGGTGCTGGGGTGCTGGTACTTACAGGTCAAACACCAAGAAGAAGAAGGTGCTGGATTCATAGCTGTCCTTCAGCTGGACTGCAATGAAACATGGGGGCCGTGAGCACAGCGTACAGCATGTTCCTGGCCATTAATGGGCTAAAACTTGCTGATCTTATTGCAAATTGAATTAAGGAGGAGTTGATCTTCACTAGTGTTTTGGTTGGGAGACAGCCTGGGCACTGCTGGCGTGTGTGCGGGGGTAGAGCAAACGATGCTCTGGGCAGGAGCCCTGTGGCACATTAAGACCATTGGAGGTCTGACACCCCCCAGGGATTTCAGCCCAGAAGCCCTTCCTGGGGACACCTTGAAGAATAAATGGGGCAGAAACCCCCCCCTGTCCTGATGCTCAGAGCCTGACTTACTGACGTTGGGGTGGCCCGAGACTTTCCGGAGAATGTCGATCTCTTTGGCAGTGGCTTTTCGCCGGTTC